AAAGATAAACAAATCAAATTAAGATGAGTTTCAATAACATCCTGTTAGCATTTAATCATCGTATTAGGCTGTTAATAGCTTAACATTATCTTTACATGGCTTGTTTATTTATTTTCTTTATATGCCCATAATCGAGGCAACACGAAAAAAACAATTTATAGGGTACCTTACTTTCTCAAACTCGTATCTTATAGAGTGATTATTGAGGAATGGCAAAACTTTCTATTGCTTATCAAGGGGGTTTATTTCATTCATTACTTTAAGAATAAGTAAAAGCCAGTGTGTGAATATGTCGGAAATGTGAATTGAAATCAGCCTGCAAAATTTGTATATACAATATATTTTTTGCATTTCAGTAACTTTGTGTTGTATTACTTGTATGTATAATTATTTGATTTTCATATTTATTTTCTGTATTAAAATAAAAAAATCTTAAATTTTTTAAATGACACTATCATTAAATTTTGATTGAATTGATATTCAATTATTTTTTGTGAAATTACTCCACTCGTTTGTTATAATTATTAATACAAAGATCGAACACTCAGAAAAAACGCTCATCGTTCACACAATCGTTCCGTGGCTTAATTGGTATAGCGTCTGGCACGGTATGCAAGAAGACGTCGGTTCGAATCCGACCGGATCGAAGGAATTTTTTCTGAGTGTTCGATCTTTGTATTAATAATGACACTATCATTTATAAAAAAGTAGATAGAGGATGAAGGTTTTTAAAACGTTTTGGACTGACTCAAAATTGCATTTTATATTGGAATTCGTACGAAAATAATACTTGAAATTGTTCTATCGCGTTATACAACGCTTCTCTAAAATTCTTGTATTTATTTAAACCCAACAACTTCTTTTTTTTTTTTTTTATAATTGTATTCAAAGATATATCCTATCGTCTTCGTTAGCTCTCAAATTGGGCCTCTTATATTGTGACTATAAAGCACCTATTATTGGAAAGATATATTTCTCCACAAATAGTGCCACTACTTACTGTTACAGTACATCTAGTTGCAAGCGACCGCTATATTAAATTACATATAAAGATGAACCGTTTCCGACGCTCGTGGGAAGAAATCTTTCAAGTATTAAATTATTGTCTCGTGCAACCAATTACATAGGCTATTATTATATGAAGCTTCATCTTATTACCGTTGCAATTCTTATTGCTAGAATTATTCGTATTGCTGTGATGCGCCTACGTGTGTCTTTATTATGACGAGTTGATATTGTTTGCTGGATTATAACTGTTCAGATCGTGACTAGGAAGAGCAGTATGGCGTTTCAATGTCTAGGTCAAGTGACGGGACGAACAAGGCATCTGCTGGTAAGCGTCACACCTACCCACAACAGTTGCAATGCTAATGTTAGATCTTTACGATTTAAACCCGATCGCGACGTCATCTTGATATTATAGTGTATCTGGTAGATTTTTAATACATCCTAATTAACTTCCTTAATCTCAAAAGTTTCGATATTCCCGAGACCAAAAGCCTCAGTCTCCAGTCTGAGGGTCGTATTCTAGAACTCCACTCAATGCTTAAGTCAGGACTTGAGTATGATTCAAAGCACTAGAAATCATACTCAAGTCCCTGCCATTAGGGTCGTATTTCCAGTGCTTGTGTTGCCAGTGCAATCCTGACTCGAGCATTGAATAGAGTTCTAGAATACGCCTCACAGGGTCGTATTCTAGAACTCTATTCAATGCTCAAGTCAGGATTTGAGTATGGTTTAAAGCACTCGAAATCATACTCAAGTCCCTGCCATTTGGTCGAATTTCCAGTGCTTGTGTTGCCAGTGCAATCCTGACTTGAGCATTGAATAGAGTTCTAGCATACGACCCTCAGTCTCCACATTCCAGGGTTGAAAGCCATCAATCAGTACGTAATAAAAAATGACAACCGGCTATTTTTTATTATTAAATTGGGCTTGAAATAAAAATGTGAAATAACCGACCAGACTTTGGGAAAAACACTGCATGGTGTTGGATTTTTATTGTAAGCGTATGTTTAAGCACTTCACATCTTGAGCTGTAGGGCTAGGACAACAGGGTTCAAGTTGCGTGAGAGGGACACAAAGCGCGATATACTGCTATTCTCCCATAGAGATCCCGCGCTGTATATCGCATTCGCGCAAGTAGCGCCATGTCGTGCCAACCCTATTGGTAGCTCCAGTCGATGTCGTTCTATCAACTAATATTCATTCATTTGTAAAACAAACGCCCTCGCTAGACTATATTACTAACATCATGAACAACAAGGTGAAGGGTCACAGTTCTTAGAAAATTAACACGCAAACGAAACTTATCTCAGAATTTTCCTTACATTTGGTAGTAAGTAAATTCTATGTATATCTACACTTTTTATTTTCGATATCAGTTGCTAAAATATGAATATTGCCATTTGTTTTTGCTCAGGCTCATAGAGTTAGTTAATGTATGTTCATGTATAATCAAACGGTGGTATTATCTATTCTTCCAGGTTAGTTTTCTCTACCTAATTTCGGTGGCATTTTTTATAATTTACGCATTTCAGTTTACTACACTCGAATATTAAATTATATTTCGTGGTAATATTCTAGAATATTTAAATAATAAAAATTGTCTCTGCAATTAGACAGACAAAACTAACACCTGAAAATTACCCGTAAAAAACCAATTATTCCCAACAAAATATGATAATTATATGGACGTCGGGTCCGCGCTAAAAAGTGTCCGCACTTGTAAGGCGCTAAAATCGTATACAGAGCGCCAAACTCCGTTTTAGTCTTCATTTGTTCGACTGACAGCGCGATACTGCGATGACATTACAATTTAAATTTGGAATAGGTTGACTTGGGACATTTTTTTCGTGGTTTTTGTATTAGACCCGTCGTCCATATATATATAGTAAATACACTCAACTGTGACCATGAGACCTGTAAAAAGCCCGAAACGTTGGTTTAGGTAGGTGTAGATTCGAAAAAATTGTTCCATATCCAATGTTTGCACAGCAATGAACATATAGATAGATGAGAGACCAGTTCAAGCAAATCTATTTTTACTGGTAATTTAAAATGAGCAAGTTACTATTGCTGTATAAATAATTCCTAAACATCAAAAATATCTTCTCATGCTCTAAAAGCATAATACGTCATTATAAGCCTTACGTAGCGGGCGTAAAATACATCATTATTTAAATCTCTAAGGCGTAAAGTGCATCATTTAATGGCTAGAGAGTAAAGTGCATCATTTAATCCCTAGGTAATAAAAAGTGTCTATAGTTGTTTAATTTACTTTGAGTTTACCTAGACCGTAGTTTCCCACAGCGGTCCCTACCCACCCAGTGCCAGGGCGGTAGTGGCTTCGGAAGCAATTGGGGGGCGTTGATGCTGTCCAGGGGGTCCTACTGCATTTGAAAAGAAATCTGAATTATCTGCATCTATAATTTTTTTCCTTGTAAGCGTAAAAACAGTGATTTTTGTGTTATGTTGATATAAAAAATACGTGTTTTCAATTATTTTTTGTGGTTGTGGGCGGTTGATTGAAATTTTTTTGTCCTGCCAAAGTGTGCGGTGATCCAAAAATTTGGGAACTTATGACCTAGAAAAACTCAAACAGCCAGTACTTGTTCTAGTTTGGGCCAAAAAAACTACTATTTTCTCTTTTTTTTTAGTTATAAAAAACTCTTTGTTTTGAGTTCCGTTGAATTTTGTAATTAGATCAAATTGAAAATGAGGCATTTTATTAACTCATTCTTCCGACTCTTCCTAAAAACTCACTTTTAGATCATCACCATCGGCAATCCATGGTCGCTCCGAAGGATGAAAAGCGTGTAGCGGTGCTGGTACCGCTTGGAATTTTCTGTGGGATTGTAACGTAGCTTCCGCAGCCTCCATATAAATAATGGAGGCCTCCATACTCTCACAACAGATTTTTGGTAAATGGTAAACGGTTCAAAAAATTAAAGAGAAGACGTGTTCGCTGCCGCGATCGAGCAGGGAAAGACAATGGAACGAAACAAAATCAGAATGGCGAGGCAATGGAATTAAAGAATGATTCAAAATTTAAAAACGAGTGGCCAGGAACCGGAAAAAAGGTGATAAAAAGGTGGGATGACGATGTAAGGAGGTCATAAAGTCACAAGCACTCTTCTTAGGGGCGATTACGGGCCAAAGTCTCTCTATTCTCTATTCTCAATATTCGTTTTCCAAAGGATTTTTCTTCGACATAAAGATTTCATAATGATATTTTCCGGCACCGTTAGCGAGAGGTATTGATTTTTTTTATGATACCACTATCGTGTCAAACCAAAACACAGTAAGTCAGCACAGTGTTTTGTAATTTTCTTACAACAAGCATCTTTAGGGAGTTATCAATGCAAAACAAATGTAGATATTCGTTTTTAATATAGAAAAAAAATATTTTGCACAGTGAAGTTATAATAGATTTCTTTAGTATCTTATGTACAAAGTAATTCAAATGCATTTTTTATTAAACTAAAACATTAGAAAAAATCGAAAAATTATTGCAATCAGTTTCCCCAATGCTGTTTTTGATATTACAATGTATTGGTTTGACACGGTAGACCAAGCGATGGGACTAACAAGTCGTGCGCCTGTGACACACCTGTCCATAACAGTTGCATTCCTGCTCAGCGCTTTAAATCGCAAACGCATTAGGAGCGCTGCCATTTCGCCGTCACCCTGAGTAATAACCTGTCCAGTTCTGCAATTTCACCAGCACCCTTGCCCTTCAAAACCGGAACGCAGTTATGCTAACATTACTGCTTGGCGGCAGAAATAGGTAAGGTGGTAGTACTTCCCTGGGCGAACTCATTAGCAAAGGAGCTCTACTGCTCATAATAATTCACAAACGTACCTAACAATTAAAGTCATAGGGACTTGCCGTCACACGGATTCGAATCGTCGACCTCTCGGCTTAGACTACCACCGCATTCTTAGATTGTAAAAGAAAAATATCTTTTATAGTAATTTCAAAAGCTGTAAGTACTCACCACAGTAGCGTACGCTTCCGTCCTCAACATCTGAGCTTCACAAAACTTAAAACACACAGAAATTGTTAACACCAGAGTTATTTTAACCGCACCCATTTTGAACTATTCTTATAAATTACTAAATTACACTGGCAAGTTAAAATATCTTATTCTTAAATAGATTTTATAAATAATATTTTAAAAATTAAATTTCGAAGGATTGTTTTTCTTTTTCTAAGTTCATGAAAACTGTTTCAAATAATTTAAGAATAAATTTATAAAAATGTTTAAATTTGGAATAATAGAACGTTCCAATTTGAAACGTCGCGTTCTACTACGACTCGTCATACAGAATGCCCGATCCGCGTTGTCCTGCGGACAGTTTTATCGCGGTGCGTGAAGACGCACGCGCACCGCGTACACACGCAGATTTTTAATCGCCATATAATATTGTAATGGCACTTTGTTATCTCCTTCATCACATGTAACACCACTTACCGGCTTTGTACTTATGCGTAATAAAGCAAATGAAGTGCTGAATATTTAAATATACGTACGCAAGCACGATTTTTTATATTGTTATGTTCGAATCACTAAATAAAAGAAAATATACAATGTTACTATTATTTTAAGGTTTTTTGTAGCGGACTGTATCAATGAGTTCAGGTGGGTGCTAACAAAGAGTGAGCAAGATCAAAGAAAACGTACCTACAGTTTATTAATTTACTACAAAAACGCGTACAGCTGTCAACGATTTTCGTCGAAGAGTATGAAAAATATGTTTTAGAGATTGTCACGGAGGAGTGGCATAAATGTTCTCAAAATTGGTTCATTCGTTACTAACGTTATTAACGCTAACGGAGAATATTTGGAGAAACGATAAATTCATTTCTGACCATTTATAGTATTTTTTTCTCTCTTCATTCCGGATGCTTGTAGTGCGCCTCACGTATCTTTCAGTCTCTGCCCTGAAAAGTTGTCATTTTACAGATATGGCCTTATTAAATAATAAAATAATTGTAACTGTCTTTTCTTTTATAAAAAAAAACCTCGAAAATACGTGGAATTACATCTATTTGTCATATCTTGTTGCAATCGGTTGCCGGATAGTGCGCGAAACCGGAATCATCCCCTAGTTTGCCACACTAGGAAGTGGAATATTTTTTTCAAATTTAAATGTTGGATCCCACTTACAGTGATTTTTTTTTGTATAATTTCGAGGTAAGTTTGTGTTTTTTTTTATCGTGAAATCCTGTTTTCACCCCGTGCAGTAATCGGTGTATATCCCCAATTGTACTATATATTTTTTCCTAAGTGTTTGTTTGATTCAACACTTTCATTGTTATGCGGAAAAAGAAAAAGCCATTTGAGGTTGTATAGACTTTTAAGGTTTCACATATAAGTTCCTAAAAGTGACTTTTTAATTACTATCCAAATACGCGTTTTTTGTTTCGGTTCCGGTCGATATTTGCGCACGCAGTGGCAGTTATTTTTTTAATTTTGTTCATTACTTGAAACATAATTTAATTATCGAGTTAGTCGAGTGAGTGCGGTCTCTCTTATATTGGACAAACAAAGCGAAGTATTTGTACCCGCGTCAAAGAACATATAGCTGATGTCAAACACCGTCGCGTAAACAAGTCTGCAGTCTGCGAGCATGTCATGGATAAACCTACACATTCAATGAAGTTTGACAAACCCCAGGTCCTTGCAAAAGAAGTCCGTTATCTGCCCAGGATGCTGCGAGAGGCCATTGAAATTAAAAAACATCCTAATTTCAACAAGGAAGATGGTTTCTCCGTACCACCAGTTTGGGATCCAGTATTGCCTCTAATGAAAAATCCCAAACAGCCATAAGACTGCAGTACTTATTAATATGTTTTAGTTTATTCTAATTTCTATTAATAATTAATAATAAATTAAACTTAATAAAAATTCATTCAATAAAATAATTTGTAAAACTTAATATTATAACTTAATATTATTACAATTTACGCTACATTAAGTAGCGTAAATTGGAATGTTTTCTTTGTAAAATTAAAAATTAGGTATTTAATTAATAACTATTGTAACTATAGTGACAAAATATGGTGGTTTGCATTAATATTAGACATAACTGGTTGAAGACTGTACCACCTCAGTCAACCGTGACCATGGGACCTGTAAAGGGCCCGTAACGTCGGTTTGTTTGAAAAAAACAAATATACGCGATTTAAATCCGGGTAAAAATAGTTTCATTTCCTACATAATTTAATTATTAAACGAAACATTTCCCACAAAGAAGTGAAAATAATGAAATTATTAGTTTGGCCCTTATATGTACTTAGGACCCATCGATATAGAGTACGCAGTGTAGTTCCTTGTAGAGAAGAGTGGTTATTCCGGCTACCTGCGTTGTTAATCGTATTAACATTGATTTTGTAATAATCACATAGTACGGTAAATACATTGACCTACCAAGGTAAGTACTTAACATTTAAGTGCAATTAAATAACATTTTGCTGACGAATATAGGTATTTATAATAAGAAATTCCCGAAAAATCTTGAAATTATCATTTTAGTGGCAGTAGAGCTCCTTGTGAAAGAATTCGTCCAGGGAAGTACTGCCACCTTACCTATTTCTGCCGCCAAACAGTAACGTCAGCATTACTGACTGCATTACGGTTTTCAAAGGTAAGGATGTTAGTGAAACTTCAGGCCTTTGCAATGCAGCTTTGAGTGAGACTGCAATTTGTTCGTCCCGACACTTCGTATCATAAAAAACCCCCAACCAATTCAGAAAAATTGGTTTCCCAAATGGTTCCCATCGAGAGTTGCTCGGAGTCTCCTTATCCAGCGCCCACAGTGCAAACTGCTGGTCCACGGAGTTCGTTAAGAAGAGAATTTACTTGAAAATTCAATTCCATATATGATTCTATTGCTGTACGTAATATTATTGGCTTTTATATTTCACGAATCCAGAAGGCAGCAGCTGATGCTTAATCCAACAGCGTAATGGCGATTAAAATTCTATTATGGAACGAATTTGTGACCGTATCAGTTCTTGCAGTGAATCGTAATGTTGATCATTATCAACGTCATTACGTGTTTTGTCGGAAAATTACATATTTTAATTAATACTTGACTGGTCCGCTCATTTAGCGAATTTCGTTCGCTCGTTAAATAGATAACTACTATGAGACTCAGACAAATTAACTTAAGTTGTGGCCTACCCTTAGAGTAACAGAGAAGGCTCGATCCACATGAGAAGATAGGGCTGTAACAAAATAATACAACGATATAAAAAAGATATAGACAATATAAAACACTCCCTACTAACACTAAACAATCGAAAGTCCGGACTCTTATCCCAAGAGGGTCTATATGCGTACATACATATATCTAATTGTTTAAAAAGTGGAAATTAATCACGTTTTCTCGCTTCGAGAATTTTGATGAAAGGTATGACCATCGAGTATACAACCAGAAATAGAGACGAAAAAAAAAACGAAAGACGGAACACAACAGGCAAATGGGCCTTATATCACTTTTAAATACCAACTCTCGTTTGCGCTGAAATCATAAATTAGAAAGCTGAAATAGTACAGCTGTTCTGTTCGATGGTGTGAGGGAAACAGCAAAACATCTGATTACAAAACAAACGGAATCACATTTCATCGGTAATTAAATATGTAATTTTTCAATTTTCGTCGAAAGTGAAACAATTGACGACATCCGTCAATTGTTTCGAATTCGGGCTGGCCAATCGGAGCGCAGTTGTCACAGTAATGATTTGGCAGAGTAGTTTTCAAACGAATTAAATGGCATTTCGTCTCTATTTCTGATTATACGAGGTGTGATCAATAAATACGGTGAATAAATTTTTATACCGGCAATTGCTGATGCTACAGCCATATGTTGTAATTTGTCCAGTAGCGTGATCAACTGAGACAGGCAGCGACAAGTTGTAACACGTTCGAACTTGTCAGTCAGCTGCCAGAGCCGCTAGAGTGAATGGGCCAATGGCTTCCTTCTTCACCATGACAATGCGCCGTGTCACACCTCGCTTCTCATTCGTGAGTTTTTGGCAGAAAAAAATGTTCCTGTCTGTCCACATCCGCCATACTCACCGGATTTAGCACCGTGCGACTTCTGGCTCTTCCCAAAAATTAAAACTGTGCTTAAAGGAAAACGTTTTGATACCATTGCTGACATTGAGAGGGCCACGACCGAGCAGCTGAAAGCCCTTCCAAAAGATGCCTTCCAGAAATGCATCCAGTCATGGAGTCAACGTTGGAATAAGTGCATTGCAAGCCAAGGACAGTACTTTGAAGGGGATTAAATCAGATTCTATGTAAGCGTAATACTTTTTTTAATATAACATTATTCACCGTATTTATTGATCACACCTCGTATACACGATGGTGATGACGGAAGGGACTAACTTAAGAATAATTAACAAAAAGAAATTCGAGAACGATTCAAAATTTTAAAAGTGACCAGGAACGAGTAAAGAGGGTGATAAAAAGGTGGGATGACGATGAAGGAGGTCTCATCGTCACAAATTACGTCATTTAAGTCGATTTTTGCTTGACATTTTAGGAACCAGTCTGTGGTTCTTAATCATGAGCTTCTGCGGTGGTGACTCGACGAAAAATGCGCGCCAATGTCCTGACTATCCGTCCCAAACCGCATTGAGCCAGCATGGCGACTGTGACCTATACCCTCACTTGCGGGAACACCCACCAGTGAGACCGCCAAGCTCTAATGTGGGCATTAGTGCGTTCCGGTTTTGAATGGTAGGGGTGCTGATGCAATTACAAGCACGTGGGACTTGTCATGGGCGCAGTGGCAGTCCGGTCTATGCGGTCCGAAGCTCTATACAATACAATACAATACAATATGCTTTATTTTCTCTCATTAAGGTTGTAGTTACAGTGTATGAATTCATTAAAAATACAATTATTAATTACAAAAAATAAAAATAACAAATATCAAGTGCCTTAGTGAGAGCTGGAGTCTGTACTAGGTTGGGAACCTGTGTTACAGATCACCAGGCTCGCTCCCTCTAAGTGTAAGAAAACGTGACATAAACTTAATACAAAAAATACAAATAAATTACAAAATAAAGCATGGGCTGTCTAGTGCAAAAATGTATGTGTGTGCGTGTG